AATAAATTCAAAATAAATAAAAGACATAAATGTGACTCATGAATCCATAAAAATCTTAGAAGAAAATGTAGGAAACAAACTTTCAGACATCATATGCAGCAGAATTTTCACTCATACATCACCTAAGGCAACAGAAACAAAGGACAAAATGAACACACGGGACTTTATCAAACTAAAAAGCTTCTGCACAGTAAAAGATACAATCATCAAAATGGAAAGGCAACCCACTGTAAGGGAGAGCATAATTTCCAATGAGATATCAGATAACGGGTTAATTTCCAATATACATAGAGTGTTCATACAACTCAACAAAAGGAAGGCAAAGAACCCAATTAAAAAATGGGCAGAGGAACTAAATAGACACCTCTCCAAACGGGACATGCAAATTGCTAAGAGACATATGAAGAAATGCTCAACATGCCCTGGCTGGTTTGGCTCAGCGATTAGAGCATCGGCCTGTGGTCCAGAGAGACCCAGGTTCAGTTCCCGCTAAGGGCATGTACCTCGGTTGCAGTTTGTCCCTGGGCCCTGGTTGGTCGTGCAGGTGGCAGCCACTCGATGTGTCCCTTTCATGCCGATGTTTCTCTCTCTCTCTCTCTCTTTTCCTCTCTCTCTCCCTCCCACTCTACATGAACAAAAAATGGAGAAATGTCCTGGGGCGAGGATAAAAACAAACACAAAAAGAAATGCTCAACATCACTAATCATCAGAGAGATGCAAATTAAAACAACAATGAGGTATCACCTCACACCTGTCAGAATGGTGGCCATCAACAAATCATCAAACAACAAGTGTTGGCGAGGTTGTAGAGAAAAGGGGACTGTAGTATACTGCTGGTGGGAATGCAGACTGGTGCAGCCTCTATAGAAAACAATATGATGTTACTTCAAGAAATTCAAAATTGAACTGCCATTTGACCCAGTGATCCCACTTCTAGGAATATACCCTAAAAAGCCTGAAACACCAATCAGAAAGAATATATGTACCCCCATGTTTGTAGCAGCACTAATTTATAATAGCTAAGATCTTGAAACAGCCCAAGTGTCCATAAGTAGACGAATGGATAAAAAAGTTGTGGTATATATGCACAATGGAATACTATGCAGCTGTAAGAAAGAAAGATCTCTTATCCTTTGAGACAACATGGAGGGACCTGGATAGTATTATCTTAAGCGAAACAGAGAATGACAAGTATCATGTGATCTCACTCATCTGTGGAATATAATGAACATAACAGTCTGAGTAATGGGGTAGTCCCAGAGATATGGAAGAGGGGTACAGACTGACAATCCCCACAAGAGGGGTGGGGGGGGAGATAAACCACAGAACTTATATGCATTATGCATGAACAATAGACATGGACAACAAAGCTGGAGACAGGGCAGGGAGCGGGGGAGGGGGATCAGCTGGGAGGGGGGGAGAAACATCTGTAACAAATAAATTAATTAATTTAAAAAAATTAAAGTGTTGATTGCTAATTTCCCTGCAACCCTCACAATGCCAAATCCATCAAACCTTGTTCCTGGACACATGGTAGCCCATTCTAAGTGTGGCCTTAGAATTAATTTCTTCTCAATGAATAGAGAGCTGAAGTGTTGTGTACCATGTTAGTCTCACTTGCGTAAAAGGAACATTGCTTGGTTTAGACCCTTTCTTTTCCCTTTCCTTGAGCTGAAACACAGCATCCACAAAGATGATTATGTCCTAAGGATAAGAGAAAAATGAGAAGGAAGATACCTGAATGATGGCCTGGAGGACAGCTACTCCACCAACTTGGACTACTTACCTTAAGATTGTTACACAAGAGAAATAAACTCCTATCTTTAATGACAGAAATTTTAACTCTTCTTAATACAGTAATTTAACATTTATCCTCACTAAAACACAATGTTACTAATAAAAACTTAACATTTGAGTATTATATTACAACTTACAGTATGCTTACATATATATTAGTTTTCTAAACCAGAGATTATCTCATGGCAAATATAAACTACTAAAATTCTATGGCACACCATAAAACATATTATGTTTTTTGCTGATCTGACAAAAAAAGTATAATTTTGATTTATTCACATCGGATGACTATTGTGTTGGCTGCTGTCATTATTTGACAATCTAAGGGGAAAAAGGTCAGTGCCCCTGACTAAATAGTAAGGTATTGCACATTTTAAAAATTCTTGTGGCACACTGATTGAAAATCACTTGCCTAAACCTTCTTCATTTTAATTTTGTTCCCTTTTATTTTTTTGCAAGTAGTTATTGTCTGGTGGCATGTTAATCTGAACATTGAAAAGAAAGCCTTTATTAGTCTATTAGACCTTAATAAAGCTGTAGGGAAAAAAAAAGAAAACTAAGGCTAATTATAGTTATAATTATTGGCTCACTATTTTGTAACTTATCTGTCTGTGTTTTCAAGCTATACACCAAGCTGTCTAAAGAAGGTTCCTTTTTGTTAGTTTATATCTAATCACTAACAAACCTCCAAATATAAAATTTCCCAAATTCTTAATGGTATAATTACAACTGACAGAAATATTATCTTTGTGAATTATAGTGTCTTTCTATGAAATAAATGTTTAAGGATATCTATTATTCAAAAGAAGTATCCATATTTTCTTGAAGATACAGAATGATTTAACAGTAATTGTTTTAAGTGCAATTGTATGATAAACCATTCTGCTAAATGAGAGAAAATCAAGTGTTTGGAGGTAGCTACTTAAATGTGTATGTATTTATAAATATATCTTTGGTAAAGAGTCAGATAAAATAAAGTATGACTCGTCAGTAAGCATTTCCTAAATGTCCTTGCATTATGGGAGTTACTGTCTAGTTTTAATAATGTATATAAAATGAATTACTATTTACATTCTTCTTAAAGATAATGATCTATTTAGCAGAATGGTCTTTAGGATCTAACTAATTATCCTTTACTCTCTTGTCAATAAGTTCAGGAACTACTACTATTAAGGAAGCAATTAGATACAATAAAATTTTACTACCCAAGTTTCTTGGTTGCAATTCACAGTAGATGCTAGAAGTTTAAAACATTAAAAACACGTTTTTATTATACAGTCATCCCTCATTTATCATGGTTAATTCGTTCTTGCACCTGGTGCTGAAGGATTCCTGGGGTGCTCGAATATGTACAGTAATTTTAATTGTAATTGTAATACAGGGGTGTATAATTGACTCAGACAAGCGAGCAGGTGCTGTATCATATTCACTGTCTTGATCAACTTTTTAATGAATATATTAGAAAAAACCGCGATAGAGTGAAGATGGGAAAGTCGAAGCACGAAGTGGCGAGGGACAACTGTATTCACTTTAGAGGGATGGAGTAAGAGCTATTAGTAAATGCTCTTTTCTGACCCTGAAATATCTTAGAGTTTATATCTGATTTCGATATAAATCAGAAAAAAAAGTGAAGAAATTTGCAATCCACCTTAGAATGGTAAAACTGCAAGGAATCTTAAAGATCATGGCTCCTTCATTTCACAGATGAGGAATCAAAAGTTTGAAAATTATTTTAATTAAAGGAAGCTTCTTGAAGATGAAAAAATTTCTTCATGAAATTCTGGGCATTGTATAATTCAAATCAATAACCTATAACACCTTTCTGAAGGGCTGGCCTTACCATCTTTCCACTTCATGCATAGGAAAAGTAAGGTAAAACAAGCTAAGTAGTTCAATTATTATCTTTATGAATCAGTGTCATAGCTGGGAATGGAAGCCAAAACTTTTAATGCTGGAACACTCTCACAAAAGTAGGCTGATCTCATAGGCTGATGCTGGCTGGGGGTGACGGGAAGCCATGTTTAGGAAGTCCTCTCATGAAGTGCTGTATTTCACAAGCCCGGAACTTGCTGAAAACTGCAAAATCCTTCTTTATAGATTAGAAATCTTAAAAAAAAAAAATTCCCCCAAACTACAATATATCAGATTCTCCACCTTCCTCTAAAAAGTGTCCTTGAATCCTAGAAATTTAAAATGTGCTCTGTATCTGGTTCAACCTTGAATATCTAGGATATGCATACAATCACATTTAGTTTTGATTTATGTAACATGAGTCGCCTTTGTGAAATCCTTTCAGGGTCTCAGCCAATATTTAGAATGTGAGTACTCATTTGAATCCCTCCTCTGTTTAGATGTGTATATTCTGATGTATTATCACCTTGGAACATTATAAATACAATCACGTTCAAGTTCCGACAAATCTCAGTATAGCTCTTTTTCCCACCAAAGCACCAGTGATGACAAACTTTTTAAAGAGAACTCAACCCTTAAACAACAAAAAGAAGCAAAAAACCCTCAGCTGTGTCAGTGTTCTTGATGTTACATCTAGTTGTTGTACAAGCCATATTCCCACGGGTTATGCCCAGTATTTCTGAAGACCATATTCAGTGCTGTGGGTGTCCAAACCATTACCGCATCCATCGCCCTCATGCAGTGAGTAACCTGCGCTGGAGCACTGCTTGCTGTGAAGCCAAAGGGATTAATCACGAATCTGGGAACCCTACTTTGCAGTTCTCCCCGGCCGCATTGAGGGGAAGCAGCTTGGTTAAAGGAGGAAAAGCGAGCTCGGAGGAGGATGGCCGGGTGAGGGTGTGCGCAGCAAGGGACGCTGAGTTTCGGGAGAAGGCAGAAGAGGGGCTGAAGAGTTGGGGATCAAAATACCAGCAAGGGCAGACAGGGTTGGGGAAGAGGGGGTCGGGGAGGGTGACCCTGGTTCAGGTAGGCAAAGAAAAGACTGAAAGTGGGCACAGGAAACCGGCACCGAAGAAAGAAGTGAGAAATTGCGGAGGAGGAAGTGGTCCCTGGAAGAGGAGGGGCAAAGGGGAAGCGAGAATGGAGTGTTTGCACTTTCGAGAGGGAAAGGCCAGAGAGCCTCTCCGGACTAGGGCTCCCACGGCCAACGCTTGGGGAAGGGGCACCCGGGCGGATGGAGGGGGCGGCAAAGTCCCTGATATCCCCGGGTGTCCTGGCGCCAGAGACCCTACCTGAAGCGCTCCTGCCCCGCCGTGTCCCAGAGCTGCAGCTTGATCCTCTTGCCCGGCTCGATCTCCAGCAGGCGAGAGAAGAAGTCCACTCCGACTGTAGGGTCGCAGGCGGGGGAACGCAGCCCAGGGAAGCGGCCCTGGGTGAAGCGGTGCAGGAGGCACGACTTGCCAACGGTGGAGTCCCCGATCACGATGAGGCGGAACTGGTAGATCCAAATTGTTTCCATCACTCCCGAGCCCCTCCAGCCACGGGGTCACCCCACTCATGCAACTGCCACCGGACAAGTTCCGCGGCGGGAACTGTCCCTTCAGCACCTCCGGGTGCCCGCCCTCTGGCTTCCAGCATATTCCTGCGGCTGTGGCCGCAGCCTGGTCTCCGCCTTCTCTGGAGGGAGAGGCGGGGCCCAGCCCGACCTCGGCCCCGGGGGCGGGGCGGGGAGAGCAGCACGAGGCAAGGGAGACAGGCCAGCTGCACAGGGCTCCCGCCCGGACTTCTGTAAATCACTCTCCCGCAAAGCTCACTGGGCGCCCACGGGAGAGTGGGTGTGGTGAAAGGATGTGACAGAAGCAATAACCAATGAAAATGAAGCGATGTTCTAACTCCGGGTCGGTCAGCCAATGAAAAGTGAGAATAATTTTTTTTTACACGCGTCAGAGCGGTCTTGTCAGATTCCGGCTCAGATTTTGGAAGCCTGGAGGCCATAAACTGGGCCACGGCTTTTACTGCTGCTTTAATAGATTTGATCAGCACTGTGGCCTTCGTTACTTCTCAGGTTTCTGAAGATTCTAGTTGCGGCTTCCTGCTCTCTAGTCCTGCTGAGCGTCACCTTCGAAACGTTTTAAGGAAAGGAGTTTGAGAGCAGGATCGAAATAAATCTGTAGAGCAAGTTCTGGATACTTGTGTAGGGGCCTTGGCCATTGCTCCTGCCACCAGCAACTTTTCCTCACTGCTTTCAGTACCACAGAAATGTGAGAAGAATGTCAGGTATCATCTCCATTCTCTCTGGGGCCCTCCAGCTCCGGAAAAGAGGATAGGCAAAAGTGAAGTATTGGGATGCTCAAAAAAATCTCATTCCTCTCCTTTCTGTAAGTCAGAAAAATCCTAAAGTGGTCTCAATTTAGCTTGTCTGGTCCCAGATCTAAATAAACAAAGCAAACTTAAATTCTGGTGAGCTCTTAATACTTTCTCATGCCTTTCTTAAAACTGGAAAATAGTGGATTCGAAGTTTATCTTTTAAAACAGTTTTAAAGTATATTTTTGCCAAAATAGAATTTTCAACAATTTCACGTTTTTCTCATGCCCAAATCTAAACTTGTACTACTGTTATTATCCTTAATTTCTTGTTTTGGAGGAAGAAGATAGGTTTATTCCTCTGCCACCTATGATTTTAGCACTTTTCTCCAACAGTAAATCTTTATTTCATAGCATTTGTACCTTAAATCTCCCCCTTTCTAATTGTTTTTACTCCTCAGCCTATAAACATGCTCAAGTATCCACAATCCTAAAACCAAGCAAACTATCTCTCCATTTTTCCTCTCCTTTAGATTTTTGCTTCCTACATTCTCCTTTTCAAACACTGGGAAAAAACAATTTAGCCCTGGCCGGTATGGTTCAGTTGGTTGAACATCATTCCATGCCTAGAAGGGTCACCGTTCAATTTCTGGTCAGGGCACATACCTGGGTTCCCTACTTGATCCCCAGTTGATGTTTCTCTTTCACACTGATGTTTCTCTCTCTCCCTCCCTCCTTCTCCCTTCCTCTCCCTCTAAAGTCAATAAAGACATTGGAAAAAAAAAAAAAAGCCAGTGTGTGGGTATCCTCCAGTGCACCAGAGGCTGTGGTCCATTCCTGGTAAGGGGCATGCAGGAGGCAGCCCCATTGATGTTTCTCTCTCTCTCCCTAAAAAATCAATTTAAAACATTAAAAAATAATAAACTATTCTTAAAAAAGACCCCACAAAACTATTTATTCTAATTTCTCACCCATCAGTTAGTCTTCAACAACCCTCTCCAAGTCTGATACACCTTGAGATTGCTTTTGATAAGTTGGTCAGGGACTTTCCAACACAACTGCATCCTCCTGTCATGTCCCCCCACCCCACCTCCTCCATCTCTCTAATTATCATTCTTCTTTTTTAAAAAGGATATTTAATTGATTTTTTTAGAAAAAGGGAGAGGGAGGGAGGGAGAGAGAGAGAGAGAGGGAGGGAGGGAGAGAGAGAGAGAGAGAGAGAGAGAGAGAGAGAGAGAGAGGGAGAGAGAGAGAGAGAAATATCCATCAGCTGTCTCCTGTATGCTCCCTACTGGAGATGAAGCCCAAAATCCAGTCATGTGCTCTGATTGGGAATCAAACTGGCAACCTTTTGGTATTTAGGAGGATGCCCAACTGACTGAGCCACACCAGTCAGGGCTAATTGTCATTCTTCTTGATATCCTGGTAGCTTTTTTTTTTTTTTTTTTTTTAATATGTTTTTATTGATTTTTTTTAGAAAGAGGGGAAGGGAGAAAGAGATATAAACATTGATGTGAAAGAGAAACATCTGTTGGCTGCCTCTTGCATGCCCCCTACTGAGAATCAAGCCTGAAACCTGGGCATGTGCCCTGACCAGGAATTGAACCTGGACCTCTTAGTCCATGGAACAATGCTCAATCCATTGAGCCACACCTGCCAGGCAACCTCCTGGTAGCTTTTGTTAAATATATTCTGTTGCAAAACGCTGAGTGGATGACCCAACTCTTAGCCAGTTATTCTAGTCCTCCAGTTAGGGATAGCCAAGTGAAAGAGTTCAACCAATGAGGCATAAATAGGGTTTCTGGCAATGTTTCTGCTTTTCTGATAAGAGACTTGGCACCCTTACTGCCCTTCACCCTTTCTCCTTTCTTTTTCCCTGATGGACTTGTTGATCTGCTATAGCAGCTCTTGACATCTTGTTGTTTGTGACAAATAAATTAATACCTGTTAAAGCTACTGGTGGTTGGATTTTCTAAAATTACAACCTGAAAACTCTCATTTCTTGGCTTTTATAAAAACATTTTCTCCTAGTTTCCTGTTCTTATTAAACTTCTTCACTGACTTCTCTCTGTGACCCATTTTTTATATATTGACATTCCTAAGAGATCCATACTTCTTCTCTTTACCCTTTTCCTTCCCCCTCCCCCACTTTGAGCTGTTTCTGGTGACGTTTCTGCTCCACTGACTTCCGTTACTCCATTACCCAAACCATATGACCTCCCCACAACCTCAGCTTTGTCTTCAGATCCACATTGTCAACTATCTCTCCTCTTAGATATGGGATACACATTCAGACTCAACACATCCGTGTTGGTTAGTTTCTTTGAAATAAACTCCAGTTAGGGGAATATAAAAAGATGAGTGAACTTATCATAAGGATACAGAGGTATTTTTGTAGACTCCACAAGAAGGAATGCAGCTGGTATTAGAAATGGATTGGAACTAGAAAAGGGAAAGCTGTAAGGAACCCAAGCAGCATGCCTCTCTGTCTCTCATATTTACTTCCTTCTAACACCTGCTTAATTCTTATCTCTCTGCAAACCAGTTTTTTTTTTTTTTTCCTGCTGTTTGGTCTATATGGAAGACTAAAGTTGCTGCAGTTTTCATGTTCGCTATCTAGATACATATGGAGACTAATTTCTATTACTCTGTAGAGACAACCTAGTTGTTCCAGTTTGGAACTGGTGTTCATACAAAAGAGATACGGCCCCAGGCAGTTCCTCTGAAAGGGCCTGCACACGGATTTACTCGGACTTGCTCCTTTTAAGTTCAGGGGAAAGGCAGCTCGAGGGGCACCAGAGACATACAGGGAAGAACTGAGCTGTTCGGCATTGGAGTGAGGGCTGGAGAGGGGGCTTTCTCCGGGACAGACTTGCTGTCTGTCAGAAGCCTTTGCTCCTTGGCTGAGGCCCTCCTTCATGAGGCAGGCAAACAGCCGTCATATCTGGGACTGCAGCAACCTGGCTCACACTGTTTGCCCCGCCCTGAGGCCACCAAATTTTCAGGACCACCCAAGCTGGTGCCAGTTGGTTAACTATAGGATTAGCCTGTCTTGGATCCTGCTTCAGGTTTTCCTAAATTCTTTCAAACAAGCAGCATCTGGCCTCAGCTAGCCCCACATCGCTCGTTAAATAATACATAGAAACAAACACAGGGAGGCAGCCAAAATGAGGAGACAAAGAGACAAATAAAAGAGCAGAACAAAACCCCAGGGAAAGAACTAAGCAAAATGGAGATAAGCAACTTAACAGATGCTGAGTTCAAAATAGTGCTTATAAGGATGCTCAATTAACTTAGTGAGACCCTCAGTGAACTTAGTGAGGGCCTTAAGAGCATAAAAAAGGACCAGTTAGAAATGAAGGATGTACAGTCAGAAATGAAGGAGGCACTAACTGAAAGAAAGAGTAATTTATAGGGAATCAATAGTAGAGTAGGTAAAGCCAAGAAGCAAACCATCAATTTGGAATATAGGGAAGCAAAAAACACCCAATCAGAATAGCAAAAAGAAAAAAGAATCCAAAATAATGAGGATAGTGTAAGGAGCCTCTGGAACAACTTCAAGCGTGCCAACATTTGCATCCTGTGGGTGCCAGAAGGAGAAGAGAGAGAACAAGAATTTAAAAACCTATTTGAAACAATAATGGCAGAAAACTTCCCTAACTTGGTGAAGGAAACAGACATATAGTCCAGGAAGAACAGAGTCCAAAACAAGATGAACCCCAAAAGGCTCACATCAAGACACATCATCATCAAAATGCAAAATGTTCAAGACAAAGAGAGAATCTTAAAAGCAGCAAGAGAAAAGCAGATAATTACCTACAAAGGAGTTCCCATAAGACTGTCAGCTGATTTCTCAAAAGAAACGTTGCAGGCCAGAAGGGAGTGGCAAGAAATATTCAGAGTGATGAAAAGCAAGAACCTACAACCAAGACTACTCTATCCTGCAAAGCTGCCATTTAGAATCAATGGCGATATAGTTTTCCAGACAAGGAAAAGCTAAAGGAGTTCATCACCACCAAACCATTATTACATGAAATGTTGAAGGGTCTTCTTGAAGAAGAAGATAAAAAATATGAACAATCAAAATGGCAATGAATACATATCCGTCGACAATTGTATCTACAAACAAAATTAACAAGCAGAACAGAAACATTCTCATAGATATAGAGAACATTTTGTTGGTTGCCAGATGGGTGGGGGGTTGAGGGAATGGGTGAAAAAGTTGAAGAGATTAAGAAGTACAAATTGGTTGCTAGACTGACAAACCTCAAAGGAAAGGGGGGTTGGGGGAT